TCTGAGTTCTCGGAAACTATAAAGGCTAGAAAGTTGGGATTTGACACGCAGATTATTGAGGTTCTGGAACAGCGCAAGTATATTAGGCCTCAAACCACACAAAACTGTGGGTTCTACAGTTTTGATGCTAGAATAAGAATTCAACTCAAATGTATTGGTTTCGTCAATAACTATCGATCGTCCTAAATAAAGTTTGTTGCGCCCAAAATAAATGTATTTATGCAAATTAAATTCGTCGATAGTAGATTAATTAAAAAAATGTATTTTTTATTTTTAAAACTCGGGTGATAAACCTTTATTCTTAAACACAATTAATTCAAGACACTTTTTAAAAATTGTGAACCGATCGCGGTGTCGGATAAAATTGGAGTGGCTCTTAATTCTAAAAAATTATCCAATGAACCTCGGCCAGAAGTTTTCCTTTTCTTAAGCTTCCAGAACTTTAATTTTTGTTTAAAATAAAAGCTTATGCTGAAACTGTCGCATCTCGTTGTGAAATGAAATTATGCTGACCGATGCAATTTGATTGAAAATCGGAACGCAATATGTTCTGAACTTAGAACGCAATACTGAGGGCTTTGAACGGAAAAGTTTGGGCTTCGAACGGAAGCTTGTGTTTACTTTACGATTGGTTTGTTTATCTTAGCAGGACGGTCAAGCGCGGCCCTCGAAGTAGATGGCAAAGGCAAAATCTTAAACAAAGTCAAAGGCAATGTCGCTGAAGGTAGGGATAACATAGCTGAGATTGAATTAAAAAATTTGTTTATAAATTCCATAAGTGGAACCGTTTTACGGGTTGGATAACTTGCATGTGTGAGTGTAAAAGTTGCAAGGTGAACTGCCGAACGAATGTTTGCATTAGCATATACATTTAAATATTTCGATTTAAGATTTTTATACCCTTGCATCATATAGCTGCCATAGGAACGATCGGATAATTGATGGGCAAATAATATGAAACAAATTATAGCTTCGGTGTTTTTTTTAGCATATAACCTCCTACGCTTGGAAATAACACTTTTTAATTAGTTCTGAATTTCGTATTTAATTTTATCGATATCGGACGACTATATCATATAGCTGCCATAGGAACGATCGGAAAATTGGTAGGAAAATTATATGAAACAAATTGTGGCTTCGGTGTTTTTTGACATATCTTATACTATGGGAATATCATTTCTTGTATTTTATTTATTATTTCTTTGGTGTTTTTTAACATATCAACTCCTACGCTTGGAAATAACATTTTTTAATTAGTTCTAAACTTCGAATTAAATTTTATAAAAATCGAACGAGTATATCATATAGCTGCCATAGGATCGATCAAAAAAATGGTGGAAAAATAATATAAAACAAATTATAGCTTTGGTGCTTTTTAACATATAACCTTCTAGCTTGGAAATAACATTTTTTAATTAGTTCTGAATTTCGAATTTAATTTTGTCAAAATCGGACGACTGTATCATATAGCTGCCATAGGAATGGTGGTGGGAAAATAATATGAAACAAATTATAGCCTCGGTGTTTTTTGATATATTATCTTATACTATTGGAAATAACACTTTGTGTTTTTTTTCTAAGAATTTCTAATTATATTTAATAAAAATCGGACGACTCTAACATATAGCTGTTAAAGAAACGGTAAGAGAAATAATGAAATAATTATTTAAAAAAAAAATGTTGCTTTGCTGGGATATAGAATATTTTAACTTTTTAGCATTACGAATATAATTTTACACAAATATTACTGAAGCCAACAAAAATCCTTAAGAATTTAATTTTGTGTTGCTAACAGTAAAGTTTTCTTATAACTTCAAGGGTATACAAACTTCGGCTTGCCAAAGTTAACTTCCTTTCTTGTTTGTGGTTAGTCCTCTTCCTTCTTAAAAAAATTCTAGAAAAAATTAAATTGATATAAATGGGGTCCTACGCGACAAAAAGCTATAGTACCATTTTTATATAATGAAGAAAGGTTAAAAAAAATCAATCTTTTAACCATATCCCATTTACGGCGGAAGTAAATTTACCCCAGTACTGGGGCAAGGTCAGTTAAAAATGTATTTTTACATTTTGCAACATTTTTCGATGATTTGCAATTACTTTTAAAAAAGTTATAGCTAAAAGAATAGGCTTTTCAATAATACCATTTTAATGGTGATAACTTTTTATTTATGGATGCTTTGTCCAAACTTTTCTAACTATCCTTACCCCACTACCCCTTACAATTGTCGACAGTTAAGTCAATAGCGTGTGTTTGCAGTAAGATCAGACACTTTTAATACGATTTCAAAATATTTTGTTGCTAAACAAAGCTTGTAATTGTTTTTAATTGTATAACCTCCGGCAGTAATTTCTTCAGAAGCTCTTTGAGTTGTATTTCTGAATGCAATCATATAGTTTTGTCGTTATTTATAAGTAGCAGCATTATTTTTTGATCGCCAAAAGGCTAAAATATTACTTCGGTTGTTTTTATTTGTTTGCAGCACTTAAGTGCAAGAAGCTCAAAAAATCATGCAAAAAGCATACAATTAGTTTTTATACTCGATCCCGTTGTTATTCTAATGATTGAGCAAAATTGTATTTTTTGTCGCCCCAAGTATTAAATTCTCCAGAAATTTGTGAGTACCATAAAAACACCAGAAGCGTCTATCGGTTTTGTCAAGTTTGCTCATTGATTGCTCAGTAGATCGAACATATCTCTGTCCTGTTCGCAGTAATTGAAAATCGTATAGTCTGAGAAAAGATTGCTCTGATGACGCATAAGTGGCAGTATATATTTGTTTTGGTATTTTATTTTAACTATTGCCTTTTATAATATGCTAATAGCAAAGAAGTTTATAATCTTGGACTTATTTTTGCCCGTCTGGCATCTCTAACAGCTGATAATGCATGAATTCGGCGTGTCGCATAAGTGCAGCCTTTTTATACCCTTGCAGAGGGTATATTGATTTCAGTCAGACGTTTGCAACGCAGTGAAGGAGACGTTTCCGACCCCATAAAGTATATATATCCTTGATCAGCATGACTAGACGAGTCGATCTAGCCATGTCCGCCTGTCTGTCTGTCCGTCCGTTTCTGCGCTAACTAGTCTCTCAGTTTTAAGGCTATCGGGCTGAAACTTTTCCAAAAGTCTTATTTATTTTGCAGGTAGTACATAAGTCGGAACCAGCCGGGTCGGACAACTATATCTTATAGCACCCATAGGAATTATCGGAAAAAAAATATTTAAGGAAAGTATATCTTTGGTGTTTTTTAACATATAACCTCCTAAGCTTAGAAATAACATTTTTTAATTAGTTTTGAATTTCGAATTAAATTTTATCAAAATCGGACTACTATATCATATAGCTGCCATAGGAACGATCGGAAAATTGGTGGGAAAATAATATGAAACAAAATATAGCTTCGATGTTTTTTAGCACATAGCCTCCTACGCTTGGAAATAACATTTTTTAATTAGTTCTGAATTTCGAATTTAGTTTTATCAAAATCGGACGACTATATCATATAGCTGCCATAGGAGCGATCGGAAAATTGCTGGGAAAATTATATGAAACAAATTATGGCTTCGGTGTTTTTTGACATATTATCTTATACTATTGGGAATATCATTTTTTGTATTTTTAAATTTAATAATTATAACAGCAAGGGTATACAAACTTCGGCTTGCCGAAGTTAACTTCCTTTCTTGTTTTTTTTTGATTTTCTTGCATTTTTTAAAATTTTTACATTTTAATCTAAAAATGGTTTTAAAATCACTAGAGAAATATAAAGCCGTCATCAAACAAAATATCTTCATCAAACCAACGGTGTACATCTTTTCAACGAAAAATTTTTTAAAAACTTTTTCTCTCAAAATTATGAAAGTTTTTGTTTTATTTTGATTCTTAAACATTTTTTTTGAGCTGTTTGGAGCCACGGGGATACATATAGAATCTTAGTGGACACCTACGACCCCTATGGAATGTTGAGTACGTTGTGTTAGTTTTTCCATTATTAAAATACGTGTCGAACGGTACCAACCTCATCCCAATCTGACCATCCATTCAAAAGCTAAACAATTTTTAAGATTTCTGGGACATTTTCATTTGAGACCTAAATGTGGGGTTGTGAGTTTTATTTATTTTGTATATCGTTTTATTTTTATTATATTAAGCTATTTAAAATAAAGTAATTTAATTCTACCACTTTTGAAAAATTCGCTAGTTAAGCCGGAAAACATTAAAATAGACTTCCAATGCACATAGCTTTAGGCACGTGCTAAATGTTGTTGTGAAAATGAAAACACTATATTAAATTTATTTATTCGGCACGGTGCTGAAGCGGGTTATAATATTTTACAACCCACGGAGACCTAAGGAAAATTGAAAAAAAAAATCATTAAGACAAGGTCTTCATATTTTTTAATACTTAATAATTATCATTAGTTTTTTTAAAGAGATGACTGGGAAATTCTGTTTAACGAAAATTATAAATACTTATGATATTACAAACTTTAAAAACCTATTTAGTTGAGTGGCAGTGTGAACTCATTTGTGTTTATTTACGTCACTGAAGGCTATCGTTTGTATATCTACGTGAGTTTAAGATGAGTGTACATTGTACAATGTACAAGAGAGAGCTAAGGAAAAACTAATTTTACACGCGCGTTGTTTAAGTTTTTTGTGACATTTTTTTGCGATTAAAAAAAAGTATTGACTTTTTTGATATTTTATATGACAACTGATTTAAATTATAACTATTGATAATAAGTTAAACACGACAATGGAGTATCAATGCGTGGTGGTTTATACAATAGTTCAAATAAGCTGCCAGGATCGAGAATACTTAAATCACCTGAATTATACAAGCAACGACAAATATACATTCCCATTTTTGCCTAAGTTAAGGGTATTATGGAAACGGTACTTTAAAATGTTTTACTGTTTGTTTTGAATTCAAAACAAATAAAATCCAACACTCTTAAGAAATAATTCATAAAAACAATATATTATTTCTAGAGCCGTGGCTGCCTATTTACGTGCTTTAAACTTATCTCCGAATAATGCCGTAGTTCATGGAAATTTGGCATGTGTTTACTATGAACAAGGCCTTATTGATTTGGCTATCGACACATATAGGAGAGCAATAGAACTGCAGCCAAATTTCCCCGATGCCTACTGCAATCTTGCCAACGCTCTTAAAGAGAAAGGGCAGGTATGTTATATATATATATATTTGTGGCTTACATTAACTCATATTTTTTGTAGGTTAAAGAAGCTGAGGACTGCTATAACACTGCATTAAGACTGTGTTCAAATCATGCAGATTCCCTTAATAATTTAGCGAATATAAAAAGAGAACAAGGTTACATTGAGGAAGCTACTCGACTTTACTTAAAAGCTTTGGAGGTGTTCCCTGATTTTGCTGCGGCCCATTCAAACTTGGCATCCGTATTACAGCAGCAGGGTAAATTAAAGGAAGCATTAATGCATTATAAGGAAGCTATAAGAATTCAGCCCACATTTGCAGATGCATACTCAAATATGGGAAATACTCTAAAAGAATTACAAGACGTCAGTGGTGCACTTCAATGCTACACCAGAGCTATTCAAATTAATCCAGCATTTGCTGATGCGCACAGTAATTTGGCAAGCATACACAAAGATTCCGGAAATATTCCCGAAGCAATCCTGTCATACCGAACAGCCCTGAAGCTAAAACCTGATTTTCCTGATGCATACTGTAATTTGGCTCATTGCCTTCAAATCGTCTGTGATTGGACAGACTATGAAGTTCGAATGAAAAAGTTGGTTAGTATAGTTGCTGAGCAGCTTGAAAAAAATCGATTACCGTCTGTTCATCCACACCACTCAATGCTTTATCCTCTGACACATGACTATCGAAAAGCAATTGCAGCGCGGCATGCTAATTTGTGTTTGGAAAAAGTCCATGTTCTTCATAAAAAACCGTATACTTTTTTAAGGGAATTGCCAGTCAAGGGAAGACTACGTATAGGATATCTAAGCTCGGATTTTGGAAATCATCCTACCTCACATTTAATGCAATCTGTTCCAGGTCTTCATGATCGTTCTAAAGTAGAGATTTTTTGCTATGCGTTAAGTCCGGATGATGGTACAACCTTTCGATACAAAATCAGCAGGGAATCGGAAAACTTTGTGGATCTTTCACAAATCCCTTGTAATGGCAAAGCAGCAGATAAAATATTCAATGATGGTATAAATATTTTAGTAAATATGAATGGATACACAAAGGGAGCGAGAAATGAAATATTTGCTCTTCGTCCTGCTCCAATTCAAGTAATGTGGTTAGGGTATCCAGGTACTAGTGGAGCTAGCTTTATGGATTATATTATTACGGATTCTGTAACAAGCCCAATGGAATTAGCCTACCAATACAGCGAAAAGTTGTCTTATATGCCGCACACATATTTTATTGGTGATCATAAGCAAATGTTTCCTCATTTAAAGGAACGGATAATTGTGTGCGATAAGCAACAACATTCTGTTGTTGATAATGTAACAGTTATAAATGCCACAGATTTATCACCTCTGGTTGAAAATACAGATGTAAAAGAGATTAAAGAAGTGGTTAACGCACAAAAACCAGTCGAAATAACTCATAAAGTCGCGGAGTTGCCAAACACGATACAAATTGTATCAATGATAGCTTCTGGACAAGTGCAAACTTCCCTAAATGGTGTCTTAGTTCAAAACGGATTGGCCACTACTCAAACTAACAATAAGGCCGCTACCGGTGAAGAAGTACCACAAAATATTGTAATAACCACTCGACGTCAATATATGTTACCTGATGACGCTATTGTATACTGCAATTTTAATCAGCTATACAAAATCGACCCACAAACCCTTGAATCTTGGGTAGAAATTTTAAAAAATGTGCCCAAGTCAGTTCTGTGGTTACTAAGGTTTCCAGCAGTTGGGGAACAAAATATTAAAAAAACTGTCAGTGACTTCGGTAAAAAAAAATTTATTGTATTATAATTAAAGCTTTAAAGTTAATTTTTTTTAGGAGTATCTCCTGATAGAGTTATATTTTCCAATGTAGCTGCTAAGGAAGAACACGTCCGCCGGGGTCAATTAGCTGATGTATGTCTTGACACTCCATTATGCAATGGACACACTACATCTATGGACGTCTTATGGACAGGTACGCCTGTCGTAACATTGCCAGGAGAAACATTAGCCTCAAGGTATGTTTGTGTGTCCTTAGTTTGCAATTAAGTAATCAGCAATTAAATTGTGGTTAAAATGGCGCGGCCATTCCATTTGTCTATTATTTTTTTGCATCAATTCGGAATGTAAAGATAGAGGTGTTCTTATGTCTAATGAAATATCAATCAAAAACCCCTCTTAATAAGGGAAAACAAGCCATTAAATTGTGGTTAGAAATAGATAAATAAATAATATATACCGATTTGGAATTTGCTATATGCTATTAAGACAAAAGTGTAATTTCGGTTTTGTTTTTTGAATTGGACCATGCCTTTATTCACTGCCCACGCCGCATTAAAAATTGGAAAGCACTGATTTTCCAAAAAATTGTAATTTAAAATTGTTGGTAAGACTGTAGTATATATTTTGGTTTGTGTTGATTTTTGTGTTTTGTTCCAAACGTTAAAAGTTGATCATAACTTACAAAATAAGTAAAATATCATATTTTTTGGCATCGATTCGGAATGTAAAGATAGAGGTATTTGTATCCCTAATTAAATATGAAGCGAAAACACCTCTTAACGATGTAAAATTAAGAATAGTCCAGTGTATCGACTATTAGATACCCGTTACTCAACTAAAGGTATCTGATATTCGTGGCACTCGACTATTCCGTTTTTCCTTGCTTGTAGGTTTTTACCTGCTTAAATATAGTTTGGACGCACAAGCAAATTTCAAAGCTCAGGAAGCGTTTGTTCTTCTGAACTGGTAAAGGTGGCAATTTTTGATGAGTCATACATTTTAAACGTGACTTCGAAGATTAAAGTTTCAACATAAATAGTAAGAGCCGTTTTAAAACAATTGAAACAAATTAAAAAAATTAAAAAACTTCTAGGCATCATTTTTAAACTATGGTTCTTAGAAATTACGACGTTTTTGTGTTTTAAAACACATTATTAACGACATAAAGGAAAAGTCTGTAGCTTTAGTGGATCATTAGCGGGTTTTCCAAAAAGTTATAGAAATAACACAATAGAAATGATTCCAGTTCCTGAAAACAACGTTTAAGGAAAAACTGATAAACTAATAAAAAACAAGAAAGGAAGTTAACTTCGGCAAGCCGAAGCTTATATACCCTTGCAGCTATAATTATTAAATTTAAAAAAACAAAAAATTATATTCCCAATAGTATAAGATAATATGTCAAAAAACACCGAAGCTATAATTTGTTTCATATTATTTTCCTACCAATTTTCCGATCGTTCCTATGGCAGCTATATGATATAGTCGTCCGATTTTGATAAAATTAAATTCGAAATTCAGAACTAATTAAAAAATGTTATTTCCAAGCGTAGGAGGTTATATGTTAAAAAACACCGAAGCTATAATTTGTTTCATATTATTTTCCTACCAATTTTCCGATCGTTCCTATGGCAGCTATATGATATAGTCGTCCGATTTTGATAAAATTAAATTCGAAATTCAGAACTAATTAAAAAATGTTATTTCCAAGCGTTGGAGGTTATATGTTGAAAAACACCGAAGCTATAATTTGTTTCATATTATTTTTCCACCAATTTTACGACCGTTCCTATGGCAGCTATATGATATAGTCTTCCGATTTAATAAAATTAAATTCGAATTTCAAAACTAATTAAAAAATGTTATTTCCAAGCTTAGGAGCTTATATGCTAAAAAACACCAAAGATATAATTTTTTTAATTTGTTATTCCTATTATTCCTTTGGGAGCTATAAGATATAGTTGTCCGATCCGGCTGGTTCCGACTTATACTACCTGCAAAAGATATAAGACTTTTGGGAAAGTTTCAGCCCGATAGCTTTAAAACTGAGAGACTAGTTTGCGTAGAAACGGACGGACAGACGGACATGGCTAGATCGACTCGTCTAGTCATGCTGATCAAGAACATATATACTCTATGGGGTCTTCTTCACTGCGTTGCAAACTTCTGACTGAAATCAATATACCCTCTTCAAGGGTATAAAAAGATACCTTTTTTTATTGTACAAACTCCCCGAGTCTGTGGGGACTGTTGAACGGAGACTCGGATTTTAACAAATTATGTGTCATTCGACGCGTATTTTCATTAAGTACACAACAAGACTTCTAAGCCGGGCACTTATTGCAAATGCCCCCAACAGCTACAATTTTTATGACTTTTACTTTCACACTTTCACTTGTCTATCTTCCAAACCAATTACAAGTCTTGGTTTGCAATCCTTTTAGCATTTGCGATACCTTTGGGGTATTACTCGTTATGTTCGGACAATCACCGCAGGTTTTTGTAGCCGTTACTCGTAGAGTAAAAGGGTATACTATATTCGTCGGAAAGTATGTAACAGGTAGATGGAAGAGTTTCCGACCCCATAAAGTATATATGTTCTTGATCAGGATCACTAGCCAAGTCGATCTAGCCATGTCCGTCTGTCAGTCTGTCCATCTGCCAGTCTGTCCAGCGCCAGACTGAGCCAGCGCTCACATTTTAAAAGATTAAAACCACCACGCCCGGATATAGCAATAAGTCTCAGCCGGTAGATAAAAGTGTAAAATGTAAAAATGTAGGTTAATTTATTTTCAAATTAGTTAGCTAAGTAACTGGTATTTTAATGCACTCGACTATCTTTCTCGATGTTCTTTCTTGTTAAGTATTATTCATAACGTTAAATGGCATCGAATAATATTTACCTTTCCATATTTACTTTAAAAGTGAATCAAAAATCGTACATTAGTTTGGTTTTAAAAGTCATCTAGATTAATCAAACTTCCCCCCCACAAGTCCTCATCAGAATCGGAATCAGATTGCACACTAATTGATTTTCTGATAAATTATTTATTTTGGTAGACTCCAAAAAGGGGTTTCGGAAGGGGTTTCTTTAATTTTTTTATTTCCCGTTTCTTTAAACACAAGCACAGACTAGACTAGTGAACAGAGGCACCCCACAAGGAGGTGTACTATCACCCCTCCTGTGGAATATCGCAGTAAATAAACTACTGCGGATTCTGGAAGGAGGAGGCTGTAAAGTAGTGGCATACGCAGACGATGTCGCCATCATCTTTAATTGAAAATATCAACAAACACTTTGCGATCTTATGACAGCTAAACTAAAAATACTATTGCAATGGACGATAGAGAACTGACTTGGGGTAAATCCCTCAAAAACTGAAAATCAACGCCAGATACTTGGGGTTAGTATTAGATAAGCGCCTAAAATGGGCCTTAAATAACCAAGAGAGAACCAGGAAAGCGACCATTGCACTTTACTCCTGTAAAAATCCAATTGGGCTAAGGTGGGGCATGTCCTCTATAATAGTCAACTAGATATACACAGCGGTAGTCAAGCCAATCCTACTATACGGAGTGGCTCTGTGGTGAACCGCTCTGCACAAACAATGCATACTGACTCCTCTAAACAAAGTACAGCGAATAGCTGCTTTGTGTATTAGTGGAGCCCTTCGAACCACCCCGAATGAAGAGCTGAATGCGATCTTGAACCTCCCTAACCTGGACTTAGCAGGCATGGAAAGGGCCAAATCGGCAGCTATTCGACTGACGGACACCGGGCAGTGGAAAGCCCCATTTTATGGCCATGCTAAAATTCTCCAGCATGATAAATCGATTCCGAAGATAACGGATCTATGCAAATCCATTGAATATAGTCACACACCCTTTGAGGCCCTGATTCCAGACAGAGATGAATAAGAGCAGGGTCGACCGGGCACGACGGACGCAATCTGCGTTTACTCCAACCAATTAAATATCAGGAAGTCATTCAGGCTCCCGGACCACTGCAACGTCTTCCAAGCGGAGGTCCACGCTATAAAGGAAGCACTAAATGTTTAGGGAACATAAGCCTCCAAAGAGGACACCTAAACATATATAGTGATAGCCAAGCGGCTATTAAATCGATGTACTCGACAAACACTAACTCCCGTAAAATAGCAGACTCTCGCAGATCTCTCCACGAGATGGCAAATCAGTTTACTATCAGCCTAATATGGGTTCCGGGTCACCGGGACATCGTAGGCAACTGCATAGCAGACGAGTTAGCCAGGCAGGGCACCACCAAGCCTCTCCGCCCAGGAGAGGAGAATGTCGGTATGCCCATGGCAACTTGCAAGCTAAATATAAAAAAACTTATTTTACTCACCAGCCAACACCCATTGGCAAAACGCACCACAGTGTCGTATCTCTCACCATACATAACCTGTGATAAACAACAAAAAAAAACCTCGGAATTACTCAAACTCAGCCTCACAGAGTGTGGCATGTTGGATCAAGCTCTTACAGGCAGCTATATGATATAGTCTTCCGATTCTTATAAAATTAAATTCGTAATTCAAAACTAATTAAAAAATGTTATTTCCAAGCTAAGGAGGTTATATGCTAAAAAACACCAAAGATAAAATTTTTTTAAATTTGTTTTTCCTATTGTTCCTATGGGACCTATAATATATAGTTGTCCGATCTGGCTGGTTCCGACTTATATACTACCTGCAAAAGATATCAGACTTTTGGGAAAGTTTCAGCCCGATAGCTTTAAAACTGAGAGACTAGTTTGCGTAGAAACGGACGGACAGACGGACAGACGGACATGGCTAGATCGACTCGTCTAGTCATGCTGATCAAGAATATATATACTTTATGGGGTCTCCTTCACTGCGTTGCAAACTTCTGACTGAAATCAATATACCCTCTGCATGGGTATAAAAAGATACCTTTTTATACCCGTTACTCGTAGAGTAAAAGGGTATACTAGATTCGTCGGAAAGTATGTAACAGGCAGAAGGAAGCGTTTCCGACCCCATAAAATATATATATTCTTGATCAGGATCACTAGCCGAGTCGATCTAGCCATGTCCGTCTGTCCGTCTGTCTGTCCGGATGAACGCTGAGATCTCGGAAACTATGAGAGCTAGGCTATTGAGATTTGGCGTACAGATTCCTGAGCTTCTTACGCAGCGCAAGTTTGTTTCAGTAAACTGCCACGCCCACTCCAACGCCCACAAACCGCCCAAAA